GGCTGGCCCAGAAGGCTGTTTGCCCAACGCAGAATTAGAATGGTGTGGACTGGGGGTTCCTGAGGGCACTTCAAGGCTTAGCGGCTAGAAGAATGGTGCAGAGACCTGTGGGGCTGTGCCTCTGCGGGCCAGCTGTGCATCTCCTCTTGTGCGTGTGTATGTCAGGGAGTACTCCTGAGGGTGGGATGGGAAGCACGTGGCACCCCCGCTCTCACTCCCGCCAGCAGCTGTTCAGAGACCAGGTGCTCCTTCCCCTCCCTCCCTGAGAGTGCCGGCATTTTGCTCAGACCCAGGGACTGAGCCCTTCAGAGTTCTGATTGGGTTTGGTGGCTTCCGTTATCTCATTCCTGATCCCAGAGCAGCATATGGCTCCTAGTGCCTTGCAGTTTTGAAGAGGCTGTTCTCTGTTGTTGATTCTGTCAGCTTCAGGTGCCTGGTGTTACATTTTCCAGACTTGCCCCATATTCTGGTGGCATCTTTTTTTTTTTTTTTTTTTTCCTGGGTGACTGTGTCACCCAGGCTGGAGTGCAATGGTGTGATCATGCTCACTGCAGCCTGGAACTCCTGAGCTCAGGTGATCCTCCCACCTCAGCCTCCTGAGTAGCTGGGACCACAGGCATGCACCACCACGCCCGGCTTCTGGTGGCATCTTGACTTAGCCCCACTTACTGGCCACACATACCTTCCTGCACCATGTGACTGTTGAGCACAGCTGTGTTGATGCAGGTGTGAGTGCAATAGTCCCTGTGCCTAGCAGCCATGCCAGTGTGGGAAGCAGAGGGGCACAGCCGTTGGGATCCTCCTGGGAATCGCAGAGGGACCTACCCGGACAGTGGAGTCGGGAGAGCTTCTCCGAGGGAGGAGGAGAGATGGGCGGGACAGGAGAGCGTGCTGCAGGGTTGGTCTCATGTGGGTGGGGTGACCCTCAGGTCATTCTCTGGGACAGGGCAGATGGCTCAGACAGAGTCTGCCACAGGGTCTCCACACAGGACCATGCCCCTCCTCTGTGGGTGCGCTTGTGTGGCTCAGAGAGCAAAGTGTCTTAAATCTGGTTCTGGAACATCCTGACTGGACTAGTGGGAAAGGGAGCAAGGAAGATGTCACCAGGAAGTACATGTGGGCAGAATGAGGCCAGAGGTGGATATATGGATCCTTCTCAGGGAAGACAGAGGCTGCCCGGGGGGCCAGAGCAGGGGGACCTGATGCTAGTAAACATCTTTTGAGCGAGTGAGCAGAGTGTGGCTGGGTTGGTGGTAGGTGGGTGGCTGTGCCTGCGGCATAGTTTACTGGAAAGCATGGGCCTTTGGAACCAGACGCCCTCTCTGTGTCCTGGCCATACCACTGACAATTTGTGTAATTCTTGGTAACACATTTTATCCATGGTTCTCGTCTGTAAAACAGGTGGGATGGCCCCAAGGCTCCCTGAGCTCTTCCTGCCCCGGCTGTGCCATGCGACGAGGCTCTGGCCTGTCTTTTCCAAAACCCTTATCTCTTTAAAAGGCCCTAGCCTAAAAGTGAAGCCACAATCATAAATTGCCACTGCTGGGGGCCTGGGACTGCTCTCACGTGCAGTACTTCCTGAGTCCCCTGAGTTACCCTGTGAGGCCAGCAATGGGAGCCCTGTTTCCCACACGAGGATGCTGAGCCTCAGAAGTTAAATGGCATCAAGTAGCAGGTGAAACTTAAGGTTAGGTCTGAGTCCGCCCACATCACCTACACCGTCACAGCCTTCCTGTCCCTGCAAAATTCTCTGGCCTGACACTAGCTGGAGCTTTGCACACCCGTCCAGTGGACACCCAGTTCCTGGAACCCCCGAGGCAGGGATGGCCAGGGCCTGGGCCCGGGCCCAGAGCCTTCCAGAGCTGATGTCTTTCTCCTCCCTGGGGCAGGTCTGAATGGGATGAACAGCAGCATCTGGGAACATTTTGCCTCTGGAAGCTTCTCCCCGGGCACTTCCCCCGCCTTCCTGTCAGGGCCAGGGGCTGCAGAGCTGGCCCGGCTTCGGCAAGAGCTGGATGAAGCTAACAGCACCATCAAGCAGTGGGAGGAGTCCTGGAAGCAGGCCAAGCAGGTACCAGGCCCCACGCCTGTGGCCTTCCCCAGTGCCTGGGTGCATCCAGCCCAAGCCCTTCCTTCACAGAGCAGGCATGGGGTGGGGGAAAGCAGGACTTGAACAGAGCAGAGACTCAGTTTTGTTCACTTGCTTTCCCTGCTGGGAGGACTTGCCTTGCCCGTCAGGACTCTGGGTGGTTACTCTTACTGCAGGCTTCAAATTCCCTCTATGAGCTGCTTGTAGTCTGGTCCCAGGACCACCTGCCTCTTCCCAGGGTTCCACTTGCCTCTCCAGGGTTCCAAGTCCAAGGTTCTGGATTCTGAAATGGGCCCCCTGTCCACCTGCAGCCGGCTACCCTATGGGTGCTTGCCAAGATCCCAACTCTAGCCTGTTCCCCCTGTTGTGCTAGGCCCAGCCCTCTGGGGACAGGGGTTAGGCGGGGCCATTGTGATGAGACTATGCTGGGCCCACAGGCTTGTGACGCCTGGAAGAAGGAGGCGGAGGAGGCTGGTGAGCGGGCCAGTGCGGCAGGTGCCGAGTGTGAGCTGGCCCGGGAACAGAGGGACGCCCTGGAGGTGCAGGTGAAGAAGCTCCAGGAGGAGCTGGAGCGGCTACACACAGGGCCCGAGCCCCAGGCCCTGCCCGCCTTCTCCGACCTGGAAGCACTCTCACTCTCCACCCTCTACTCCCTCCAGAAGCAGCTGCGGGCCCACCTGGAGCAAGTAGACAAGGTCAGCCAGGTTGGGGAACCCTGGGTGGGGTGTACAGTGGCCTCAGCCAGCCCTTAGACTCTGACCTGGTCCAGGCTGCTCCAGGGATGGCCACCCTCCTGAAGGCCTCTGTCCAGCACTGGGCCAGCACTCAAAAGGGTGGCCTGCTGGGAGTGGGTAAGGAGAGTGCAGCAGGAAAGGTGAGAAGGCTAGCGGTGAGGGGCACCCCTGAGGGTGGCCCTGACCAAGCTGCGCTCAAATGCCTGGGCCCCAGGTCAGTCACCCTCCATGGAGCAGCGGACCTTCCAGAGAGGCCCAGGACCCCAGGGCTGCCCTGCCTCCCAGGTCTCCTGCTGGGTCCCAGGGGCCAGCATGGCATGGTGGGAAGAGCTGTCTTTCCTTTGTTCTCTGGCAGCTAGGCCCCCAGGTGTGGCCCTGGGCATGTCCCAGCCCTTTCTGGGCCTCATTTTCCCCATTTGGGGATTACAAGGTCAAATGAGACTGGGCAAAGCCTCTGTGAGGGATGGGCGTTGTCGGAGCCTGGCCATGCCCCATGCAGAGGTGGACTCCGCCTGCTCTCTCACCTGCCAGTAGGGTTCTGGAAGCACACTGTTGAGCTTGGTGCCTCAGTTTTCCCATCCCAAGAGGGCTGAAGTGAGGATCAAGGGAACTCCTTGCTCAACTTGGGGCTAGACCCATGGCTGGTAACCACAGTGCCCCTTTCCCCACAGGCCGTATTCCACATGCAGTCAGTGAAATGCCTTAAGTGTCAGGAACAGAAGCGGGCGGTGCTGCCGTGCCAACATGCTGCGCTGTGTGAGCTCTGCGCCGAGGGCAGCGAGTGCCCCATCTGCCAGCCCGCCCGGGCCCACGCCCTCCAGTCGTGACCCTGCAGGCCTGGCCCAGCCTGGCTCAGATCTTCTCATCTAGGACTTTTTAAAGTATATATATATATACGAGTATATATATATATGTGTGTGTGTATGTATGTATGTATATGTATATGATTATGTATATGTATACATTTCCGTATGTGTGCAGGTATGCGTGGTGGCGTGGACAGTGTCTGTGTGTATATCTGTACATAGATATAGACACACACTTTAAAAGACTTACCAAGCACTTTTTAAAAGAAGAAACTATTTTGCAGTCCTCCCCTACCCACTCCCTGCCCTTCCTACCGCACAGACAACATCCCTTCTCCCACTGGCCTTTTGGCAGAGAATCTGTTTCTGTCTCTTTTTTAATGTAGGAACTAACTATTTTTAACTTCTTCCTGAGGCCTGAGCAGGCAAGGGTGGGACTGGAAGGCACTCAGGGGAGGGAGAAGCCCTCAGGGCAGGCCCTGCTCCCCCTCCCTCCTTGCCAGGGCAAGGGTGGAGTGTGGAAGATGTGGGTCCCCCAGGGTAGGCCTGGTCCCCAGCTGTGAGGGCCTCAGGGAGGCCCAAGGGTGTATGCTGGGGGCTCTCAGCTGGCGTAGCTCCTAGGTTTACCAAATGTGTATTGAATCCTAGGGAGAACAAGAAGAGCTGGAGGCCAATGCTGTGGGGCCAGCCCTACCCATTCTGGATACCTGGGCCCTTGAAGCCCATCAAGGGGCAAGGCCCAGGAGTTCCAGCCCTTAGGTTCCTGAGGCCTGGGGTCTACCCTCAGTCCTCTCCCCCTGGACTCCCCACAAGAGCCTCCCTGGCCCCAGGGTCACCTACCAGGCTGGCACTCATTCTATGACCCCCCTCCCAGCAGCCCCCAGCTATCCCTGCCCCCTCCCCCCTCTGGCAGCTAGCAGGGCAATTGGTGGGGAGGAGTGTGGACTGAGGACCAAGGGGGCTTAGGCCCTGCCCTCCTCCCCGGAGGGGCTCCGAATGCATTCCTTGGTGCTCTCTGAGTGCAGCTGGTGTCCCGCCCTGTTCTGGGCGGACGCCTGTGTGCGTGCGTGTGTGTGTGTGCCTGTCCAGTGTATATTGTGTCTTAGCTTCCATTTTAAAAATTGTTCTGTACAGAAAGAGATGCAGCAGGGGCGGGAGGGCAGAGCGGGCGGAGGGTAGCAGCCACGCCCCCAGTACCGGGTGTCTGGGATAGGAGCAAGAGGGCTGAGAGGATCTGGTCCTGGCCCAGGCTCCCCCTTGGGCTCAGCACGAAAGGGCTTTCAATGAATTAAGTGAAAACTTTTTCCTTTTTTACAAAAATGCAAAAATCAACAAAGCTCCAAACCTATTGGAAATAAAATATGAACTTACAGTAGTAGCTTGTTTACATGGGGTGAGGGGGAGTGGGCCCCAAAAGAGGGCCTCTGAACTATGAGGTGGGCCAGGAGCCCTGCCTCAGTCATGGAAATAGCTGGTACCCACATCCCTGAGGTATGGTAAGGCAGCTGGAGAGGCCTGGAGGCTCCCTGGACCCACCAGACCTTGAGACAGCTGAAGTGCTCTCCAACCTAGGCCTGCCGGGGTTGACACAGGAACGCTTAGCCTTGGATACCGAGGCCTCCCAGGCCCTAGGACTCTTGAGGGTTGTGTGGTTAGTGATGACTGGCTTCCCTGTTGATGGTTTCCAAAAAGCAATAGGACCCCTAATTGTTTCTCAGAGGAACAGTGTCTTCCCAACTGGGCACAGTGGTGCAGGCCTGTGGTCCCAGCTACTAGGGAAGCTGAGGTGGGAGGATCACTTGAGCCCAGGAGGTCGAGGTTGCAGTGAGCCATGATCGCAAAACTGCCTCCTGCTTGGGTGACGGTGAGGCCCCATCTCAAAAACAAAAACAGGCTGAGGTGGGTAGATCACTTGAGGTCAGCTATTAGTGAGACCAGCCTGGCCAACATGGTGAAACCCCGTCTCTACTGAAAAAAAGAAATACAAAAATTAGCTAGGTGTGGTGGCACATACCTATTGTCCCAGCTACTCAGGAGACTGAGGCAGGAGGATCATTTGAACCTGGGAGGCAGAGGTTGCAGTAAGCTGAGATTATGTCATAAGCACTCCAGCCTGGGCATCAGAGTGAGACTCCATCACAAAAACAAAAAACCCAGTGCCTTCCCATCGGGATAATTTGCTGGTAGAGCCTAGAAGCCATCTTGCCTCCTGCCTCCTTTGCCCCGCCCTGCTCCCAGTTGGGGTGAGAAAACACCTTGGTGGGATCTTCTGTGTGGTCTCAGGTTTACAGCTACAAGGGGGCTTGGAGGTCATCTTGGCTAACCTCACCTCCCAGCATCTTGTGCAGACTCAGAGGTTCAGGTGTGGAACCAGGGTCACACAGCTAGGATGATGTGATGACCAGGCCTCAGGCACTGACACCCCCCAGGCAGGGTAGGGACCCCAGCTCCTGTACACCCTACTGTCTCAAGAGCAGCCCCTCAGCCTCCACCTGCACCCCTGGGAAGTCCCTGCTGACTATGCTCCCCTGAGGAACAGGTCCCTATCCTGGGTGTGGCCACAGGACCTAGTATTTCTGGTGAAACCAGTTGTTCAAAGCCCACAGCCAAAAATCACCCCAACCCTGCCTCTGCCTCAGTTACTCCTATACCCACCTCCCTGCTTTGTAGCTGCCCCAGGGTGGGGGTAGCTCAAGGTCCCCTGAGGGCCAAGGAGGAAACCAACTGGCCTGGCTTGTCGCATTCTGGGCCCCACGATAGGCCAAAGGTACATTTTCTAAGAGGACAATGGGTTCGTTTTTATTTTTGCTAGGAAAGTTTCAAGGTGGCAGGTGCTATCTGGGGTGGCAGGTGCTTTCTGGGGAGGAGTTGAGTGCAGCAGACACAGTGGCCAAACAGTCCTTTCTGCTTCTGTCTGTCTGTGCCATCCCCTGCCACCTGCCAGCTCTCGATCCCTCAGAGCCAGAAGGTTCCAGGCTTCCTGGCCTGGGTGCTGGCAGTCCCTGGGGAGAAGACCCAGCTTCCCTCTAGTAACGGTCACCACCTTCCCCCCAGGACAGCTGGAGCCTCATCTTTGGCAGGGTCCCCTGTCCCTTCCCCAGGAGGCTCTGTGCCTGCAGCCCTGCTCCCAGTGAACCTGGCCCCCACCCCAATAGGTGGAACAGGAAGACCAGGAGACGGATGGCCAGATCCCCTGTCCACCAGAGCAGGTTTTCCGAGAGGTGGGCAGGGGCAGGGTTTGCTTCCCCTGGTGCTGGGAGGTGGCGGAGAAATTGCAGCCAGGGCTGGCAGCAGGGAGGCGGAGTAGAGATATCTCTGCTGAGCCATCATCACTGTGGGAGGCAGGGAGGAGGTCTGCATACTGGGGCTCCTTAAGTGTTAGGCCAGGCTGGAGGGCTGTGCTGTGGCGGGGAAGCCTCAGACCTTTCAGGTAAGCCCTTGCAGGTCCCCACCAGGTACCTGGCCTCACTGCAAACCTCCACAGCTACAGTGCAGGCCACAGGGCATGCTGGGAGGCCTGCTTGGCCCGCTGCCGCCGCAGCCTCACAAAAACCTGGGCCTCTCGATCACCCTTCCGGCCCTCCAGCAGCTGCAAGATTGGGTCCCCTGTGGAGAGAGGGGTTTCGGAGTCAGATGCCAGGGGAGTGGCAATGGCTGGTGGTGGTAGGGAAGGGTGGGGGGGGGGGGGTGGGCACACAACACTGCCCCATCCCCCGCCCCGACAACCTGGAAGGAAACCAGTGACAAACCTGAACCAGCCCAGCTCAGGAGGTGGCCTGACAGCCATGGCTGAAACTTGCTAAGGTTTGGCTATTTTTTTTTTTTGAAACAGAGTCTTACTCTGTCACCAGGCTGGAGTGCAGTGGCACAATCTCAGCTCACTGCAACCTCTGCCTCCTGGGTTCAAGTGATTCCCCTGCCTCAGCCTCCTGAGTAGCTGGAACTGCCTGGCTAATTTTTTTTGTATTTTTAGTAGAGACAGGGTTTCACTATGTTGGCCGGTCTGGTCTTGAACTCCTAACCTCTGCCTCTAAAGTGCTGGGATTATAGGCGTGAGCCACTGTGCCTGGTCTGGTTATATTACCTTTTTATATGAGAACCTAAAGCTAGCAAATTAACTTCTTTATGCCTCAGTTTACTCATCTATAAAAGAGTGCTAATAATATCTGCTTCATTGGCTGGCATGTGTCAAGTGCTTAGCACTTGCTCATAATACATGCACAAGCACCAGACTGTTTCAGATACCAGAAATGCTCTGCAGGGTTGTGACCCCACTGAGTGAGATCCAGGCCCTTCTCCCCAGGTAAACATCTTGGTGACATCCCCACTAGGGAGAGTCATGTTTCACTTAAAGTTCACTGGGCTCTTGATTAGACACGGGCCATGGCTGTCCCACTAGCTCCCATCTCCAGAGAGGCTGTTCTCCAACCCTGGCATTGCCTCGCTGGGGCCCCTGTCTGAGCTTTACAGGCCCCTGTCCCTGTATCACCACCCTTCCCTGGGCTCAGGCCTACCATTGGGTGCGGGGTACGTGAGGGGCAGGCGGGTCTGAGGCACCTCACCAGGCTCCTCAGAGCCACTCAGCCCGTGCACCTCACACAGCGGCAGAAAGGCCTCCCCTTCCAGGTCGTCGGCCCCCAGTGTGTCGTAGTCCAGCACGGTGAGCAGGAGGCATGCCCCAGGCTTGCGGCACAGCTCAGCAGGCACCAGGCTGCAGGGAGAGTCAGGGCTCTGCTGCCAGCCCCAGCACGGCCACCCCCAGCCCCAACACATGGGATCACCCGCTTGGTGTTGGGAACCAGCCAGGGTTAGGACTGCAAAGCCAGCTCTCAGCCTGGCGCCTCTCAACCATATGGTGCAATGTCTGCTCTGACTGTGGGTGATGCTTTAAACCAGGGGTCCTGCGTCCCCTGCCCACCTGTCTTGAGGAACTAGGAGCAGATTACTGAGAACCTCAGGGACAGGACCCTTCCCTAGAAGTCCCTAAGTTCAACATGTGGAGTCCATCCCTGCCCCCAGGGGAAGCAAACTCTTTTGAGATGGGTTCTTGCTCTGTTGCCCAGGCTGGAGTGTAGTGGCACGATCTCAGCTCACTGCAGCCTCCACCTCCCAGGTTCAAGTGATTCTCCTACCTCAGAGTAGCTGAGACTGCAGGGGTATGCCACCATGCCTGGCTAATTTTTTATATTTTTAGTAGAGACACGGTTTCACCATGTTAGCCAGGGTGTCTCGAACTCCTGACCTTATGATCCACCAGCCTTGGCCTCCAAAAGTGCTGGGATTACAGGCGTGAGCCACTGTGCCCAGCCCTTTTTTTTTTTGGAGATGGAGTCACTCTGTCGCCCAGGCTGGAGTGCAGTGGCACCATCTCAGCTCACTGCAGCCTTTACCTTCTGGGTTGAATGATTCTCCTGCCTCAGCACCCCAAGTAGCTGGATTACAGGCATGCGCCACCATCACACTGGGCTAATTTTGCATTTTTAGTAGAGGCAGCGTTTCATCACGTTGGCCAGGTTGGTGGGATGACAAAGTGCCGGGATGACAGGCATGAGCCACCGTGTCTAGCCGCAAACTTTTGTCCAGGTGCCCCATCCCTTGGACCCAGATTAGGCTATCTCAGGGGAGCCGCTTGACCTCAGCCAGAAGAAGCAGGCCTGAGGGAGCCCAGGAGGGGGAGGCACTGGGAGAAGAAGGGAGACCCACTCACAATTCAAAGGTCTCATCAAACAATGGGTGAAGGTCCTTCTTGTGCTTCTGGGTCTCCCGAGCGGCCAGCTCAGGGAAGTCATGCCTGGGCTCCAAGGTCAGCTGGACAAAGGGGTCACTGGAGCCTGGCAAGTGGCCGGGGGGAGTGCATCAGCTGAGGGTTTTTCAGCTACCCCACCCCCACAGCTATACCCCACTCAGCAGCACTGACCCCTCCTGGTAACTGGAGGAAATGCACCTAGAGCTCCTGTAGGGTGAGCAGAGCCCCCAGGGATGCTGAGACAGGAGGGCCAGGAGGGAACTACTCCTCTTTGGGGAGTGGCCAAAGGTCAGCCTCCGCTCACCGTTGGAGTCCAGGGGCAGCAGGCTGGAGGCGCTGAGCAGCTCCACATGCAGCTTCTGCTCGGAGGTGCGGTAGGAGGCCTTGACTGTCACAGCCCCCAGCTCTTCAGAGATGGTTTCTGACTAGGGTGGGGAGCACGGACAGGGTGAATGGGGACACAGTAGGGGCAAGGTGCTCCAGGACCTGCAGAGGGCACAGTGCAAGGGAGAGGGGCCTCACCTGCTGCTGGATTCGGCCACAGAAGTACCTCCGGATGAGCTCCCGGCTGGATGCTGCCTGCAGCTCCAGGTTCCTCTGCAGAGCCTGGGAACACATACAGCTGAGAAGCCACCTGGAGTGCGCACGCTACCACAGCCCGGGCCTGCCCTCCAGGAGCTCACAGTCAAGGGTAAGACGTCCGTTTGAAATGGAAAATAGTGGGTCATGGGACTGCAGGCACAGGCCACCCTCAGGCCAGTCACACAGCAGGACAGAGGCACAGACAAGACTGGCTTTCCCGGCCTCCCTCCCCTCCAACCCCACCATGCAGGCACACAGGACCCCTGTGCTCAGGAGGACTCAGGCTTGGCTTCAGGTTCTGTCATCAGTGTTCTAAAATTTGTAAGAATTTTTGAATAAGGGGCACAGCTTTTCATTTTGTACTGAGCCCCATAAGTTAGGTAGCTGGTCCTGGATACAGGTGAGTGCTGAAAGGCGGCTTCCCCTGACCTCCTACAGGGAAGCTCACCCAAACCCCCTACCTGGAAAGTTGCTGTGTGCAGGGCCTCAGGTGGCAGGCCACAACCCTCAGCATGGAAGCAGATTTCCAGGTTCTGGGGAAGACATCAGAGGTGAGTGACCCCAGGCACCCTCCCACTAGGGTTATCCTTGCTGTGACCAGTTCTGTTACCTGCAGGGCAATCTTCAGCCTTTTGGAGGCCAGGGACGAACTGCGCTGGGAGGCAGCCACCTCCTCCAGCACTGTGAGCGTGTGGGTCCAGAGCAGGGTCAGGAGGCTGGGGTGGGGCGGGGCCAGAAGGATGAGGGGGGACCAGAGGGATGCGGACACAGCACGGCAGGCAGGCGGCAGCAGAGGAGGAAGCAAAGATACTCTTCAGACGCAGGTAGGCCTCGGGGACCCAGCCCCACCCCAGCTCCTCCCACCTCCACCCTCCCCCTCTGCTTCCTGCCCCAGGTGGGCTGGGGAGAGGGCAGGTAGAGGAGGACGAGCCAGGGGCAGGTGGGGTCAGTCCTATCCAACACTCAACCTCAGTGAAGAGCCCTTCCCAGCAGGCTAATAGAACCCACAAACAAGGCTGGAGACAGGGAGGAGGCCAGGCCCCCAGTGACCAAACCATGATTTAAGACAGGCCGGGCATGGTGGCTCATGCCTGTAATCCCAGCACTTCGGGAGGCCGAGGCAGGCAGATCATGAGGTCAGGAGTTCAAGACCATCCTGGCCAACATGGTGAAACCCCATCTCTACTAAAAATACAAAAATTAGCTGGCATGGTGGCATGTGTGTGTAATCCCAGCTACTCAGGAGGCTGAGACCCGAGAATCGCTTGAACCTGGGAGGCAGAGGTTGCAGTGAGCCAAGATCACACCACTGCACTCCAGCTTGGGCAAGTCTCAAAAAAAAAAGGTTCATGGCTGGGCAAGGTAGCTCACACCTATAATCCTAGCACTTCAGGAGGCTGAGGCAGGTGGATGGTTTGAGTCCAGGAGTTTGAGATCACTCAACAGGCTGAGGTGGGAGGGATAGCTGGAGCACAGTAAGATGAGGCTGTAGTGAGCCGAGATCACACCACTGCACTCCTGAGTAACAAGAGTGAGACCCTGTCTTAAAAAAGGGAGCATGGCCAGGCGCAGTGGCTCACACCTATAATCCCAGCACTTTGGGAGGCCAAGGTGGGCTGATCACTTGAGATCAGGAGCACAAGACTCCATCCCACCCAAAAAAGTAGTTAATTAACTTGTGCAACACATTTAAGTGCCCATAATGTACCAGGCACTGTTCTTTCAAAAAATTTTTTTAGATAGGGTCTTCCTCTGTCACCCAGGCTGAGTGCAGGGGTACCATCACAGCTCACTGCAGCTTCTACCTTCTGGGTTCAAGTGATCCTCGTCAGCCTCCCAGGTAACTGGGACTACAGGTGCATGCCACCATGCCTGGCTAATTTTTGTATTTTTTTGAAGAGACTAGATTTTGCCATGTTGCCTGGGCTGGTCTTAAACCTGAGCCCAAGTGATCCACTCAACTCGGCTTCCCAAAGTGCTGGGATTACAGGCGTAAGCTATCGTAACTGGTGGTGTTCTAAAGGCTCGTGAGACAGCACTGAGCAAAACTTCCCTCTTGGTAGAGGTTTAACTCTGGTTTACGTGGAAAAATCTGGTCTAAGATCAAGTCCAACAGAGCTTAAAAGTGAAAAAAATAAAATATTACAGGTGGTGGCTCACGTCTGTAATCCCAGCACTTTTGGAGGTTGAGGTGGGCAGATCACAAGGCCAGGAGTTCAAGACCAGCCTGGCCAACATGGGGTTGGCCAGGGGCAGGTGGGATCAGTCCTATCTCTACTAAAAATACAAACATTAGCCAGGCGTGGTGGTGGGCACCTGTAGTCCCAGCTACTCGGGAGGCTGAGGCAGGAGAATCACTTGAACTGGGGAGACAAGCTGAGATTGCGCCACTACACTCCAGCCTGGGTGACAGAGCGAGACTCTGTCTCAAAAAAAATAAAAAATTAGTCTGGGCACGGTGGCTCACACCTGTAATCCCAGCACTTTGGGAGGCCGAGGCGGGCAGATCACGAGGTCAGGAATTCAAGACCAGCCTGGCCAACATGGTGAAACCCTGTTTCTACTAAAAGTACAAAAAAATTAGCCGGGCATGGTGGTGGGCACCTGTAATCCCAGCTACTTGGGAGGCCAAGGCAGGAGAATTGCTTGAAGCCAGGAGACGGAGGTTGCAGTGAGCGGAGATCTCACCACTGCACCCCAGTCTGGGTGACAGGGCGAGACTCCATCTCAAGAAAGTAAAAAAATATCCTGAAATACCACACAGGGGAAAAAAAACACAGAAAAAAATTTTTTTTAATTAAAATGAAAAATTAGGCCAGGCATGATGGCTCATGCCTGTAATCCCAATACTTTGGGAGGCCAAGGTGGGCAGATCATGAGGTCAGGAGTTCCATGCCAAAACCCCATTTCTATTAAAGATACAAAAAATTAGCTGGGCATGGTAGCTCGAGCCTGTAATTCCAGCTACTTGGGAGGCTGAGGCAGGAGAATCGCTTGACCCAGGAGGCAGAGGTTGCAGTGAGCTGAGATCATGCCATTGCACTCCAGCCTGGGCAACAGGGCAAGACTTCGTCTCAAAAAGAAATAAAAAATAAAAAATATATATATACACGGTGTAAGAAATAAAGATGGCCAGACTCCAAGGGGCCCTGGCTGTACTTGTGGGGGTGGAACAGAACTCTAGGAGGTCGGGCAGCCTCCTCAGGGCCCAGATTCTACAGGGAGGCAGGGCACTGTCATTGTCATCGTCACCACAGCTAACAGTCACTGACCACTTCCTTTGTACAGACACTGTGCTCAGCACTTCACATGACCCATTTTATCCTCACAGAAGCCAGAACTATTCTCATCTGCACCAGGAGCTCCCCCAAGGCTGCTAAGCAATGATGAAGCTGGAGTCTGAACCCAGGTGGTCCAGAGCCTCCTGTGCTGGACTCCGCTGCCTGTTGCCTGGCGTGCTGGGTCCCTGTTACGACACACCCTAACTACAGGTTCTCCCTGCACCACGGGCAGGGACCACCTGTAACCTTAGCGGGGCCTAGGAACAGTCAGGGAGACCCTGAAGACAGGCCTGGGATGAAAGGAGAAAGGACAGGCAGATTTTGGCTCAGCCTAGGGAAGAACTCAAAGCTGTCAGAGCCAGGCAGCAGACAACAGGGAGGCCTGTGAAGTGGCGAGCTCCCTGTCCCTGTGGCGAGCATGAGCAGAGCCTGTTGCACCCTCTAAGGGGGTCACCAAAGGGTTTCACCTCCCCCACTCAGAACGAATGCTGAGGCCCAGGATGGAGGGGAGTGGGAGGAGAGGTGGAGGGCGCACCCGGGGCAGGGGCTGCTACCCACCTGCTGAAGTTCTCTTGCACCAAGTTGGTGTTCATGTAGCAAAGCTCCACCTCCAGGAACTTCATCAGGGGCAGAATGGCCTGGGTGGGGAGGGCAGTTGTGGCTCTGGCCCATTTTGGCCCTACCCCCATCCCCCAACCCTGACCTGGAGGGAGGAAGCCAGGCTGGGAGCCTTTCCATAAGAGCGGTTTGTAGCATCTGTAAGATGCCAGCCCTACCCACCTCTCTGCCTTCCCCTCTCTGTTGCTCAGTCTGTTCCAACCACACTGGCCTCCTCTGCAGCCCTTAAGCTTCCAGGCCTGGTCCTGCCTCAGGGTCTCTGCCCTTGCTGTTCCCTCCACCTGGACTGCTCTTCCCCTAGAACTCCTCCTGGCTCCTCCCCTTGTTTCCTGTAGGCCTTGACTCAGCTGTCACCGCTTTCCCTGGTCATCATCTAAAAATGCAACCCTCTGACACTTCCCACCTGTTTCTCTGTTGTACTGTTCTCCGTAGCACTTATCATCATCTAGCACACTATATGTGTGTGCGCACGCGTCTGTGCATAACTGGAGTTATACTGCAACTATCACTGTAGTTATGGATGCTCACTGAGTAGGTCTTCTTTTACCTCTACTACTACAATGTAAGCTCCAGGAAAGCAGGTTTTGTCATATTGTTCACTGACCTATCCCCAATGCTCAAATCAATGCATAAGACAAAGTGGGTACCTGATAAATAGTTGATGAATGAATGAATACCCTCCCCTCATCAATCGCAGGTGTCCATTATGCTGTAGCCCCACCCAAGGTCAGCTGGCTTGTATTAACAGGACAGCCAAGCTAGCAGGCAGCTGAGGAGGATGTACACTCAGCCTGTTTGGCTGCAAAGCCTAAGACCTCCCCAGCTGCAGCCCCGCATCGACTGTCCGTGCTGGGACAGCCTGTGGAGTGACCCCACCCATTCCTGTGAGCATCCCGGGAGAAACTGAGGCCCAGAGAGAGAACATGCCTTGTCTGGTCTGGGGGACTTATCTCTAACACCCAGGCTTTCAATGACCCCAGATCCACAGCTGGCAGGGCGGTGAAGGCCAGCAGGCAGAAGGGCCACTTACATCCTCAGGCAGGACAGACTCCCTGATGCCCACGAGTTTCTGGATATGCTTGGCGATGCCCACCTCCAACTGGAGACACAAAACAGTAGAAGGAGGGAGATTAGGGCATGAGTTGGGGATGGGAACGTTCCTTAGAGCCTGAGTTTAGATGCAGGAAGGGGTTGGGGCTGGACGTTGGCCCAGGTCCTGCTGGAGCCAGGCAGGCTGAAGACAGGATGGGGTGACTGTGCGGTTGGACAAGGTACCTGCTCGGCCAGGGTGTGAACACCAGTGCGGATCTCGTGGCCCAGCCCGGCCAGTGCGCTCTGCAGCTGGGCATGCAGCGTGTTCTGCAGCTGCCCCTGCTCCAGCACAGCCCCTACCCGATGCTCCAGGGCCTCCCATGCCAGCTGGGCAGGCAGCTTGCCAATCACCAGCCGCAGCTGCTCCATGTCATTCACCACCACGCACAGCTGGAACAGAGATGCAGAGCTCCCTGAACAGCGCCCGGGCTGGTCCCCACACCCAGCCAGACTCCTAGCCCCAGAGCTGGCCTTACCATGTTGGCTGCCTGGGCTTGGTCCTTCTGGCCTGAAGAGAGTTCGCGGGCCCGAGCCTTTATAAGGCTGCAGTATACCAGGGCCAGGCGACAGGTGTCCTAGGGTGGGGTTGGACAGAGGGAACTGATCCATGGTTGGGGCACCCAGGAAGGGCAGGTGGGAGGGCATGGGAAAATCAGTGACTTGGGGGATTGAGGACACAGGCCTTGGGAGGCTGCTTGGGAGAAACCGTGGGTGGTGGTGTGGCTGTTCTAGAAAGAGGGAAAAGGGCACATGGAAGATGCTGCACCTCCACAAACTTGACAGTGATCATGAAGGCCTCCTCTGGGTCCGGCCAGTCCAGCTGCCGGGCGGTGTGGCTGATCTGAGCAAAGCAGGTGGACAGATCCACCGCGGATGTGCTGTGCTTGGTCAGTTCACCCAGGGGCACCAGCTGGGGGGAGGAGAGCGCTTAGAAAGGAGGACTCAGGACACTGCCAAATCCACCCCCTTCCCTCATTCAGAGCAGCTACCACCGCCAGGCACAGAGCTGGGCAGGGAGCTTCACAAGAGACAAGCAAGGCTCTGCTCAGACCCCGCCCCGCTGGGGGAGCTCAGGCAAGGGGAAGCCACAGTTAGCCCCAAGGATATCCAGAGGCAGCGTTTTGCACACAACTGACCTCAAGTGCACCCAAAAGGGACATTCAGAGTGTGTTACCAGCTTTTACTATGCTTTGGAAGTCCAGGCAGAGCCCAAGCCTCAACCCCAAACCAGGGCCCCGCCCCCACCTCATCCATCTGCACAGCGCGCTGCACCCGTGCCAGGGCCACGCTGTACGTCTTCTGCAGCCAGGAAGGGATGGCTGGCTGGAACCAGCGGTGGAAACTCTCCAGGGCCAAGACTCCATCCCTGGGGAGTGCCGGGACTCGGTGTTGGTAAGGCTAGGGCCAGCATGGACCCCAGGGCCTTGTCCACCCTCCCCTCCCCTGTCCCCTCGAAGCCGCTGGCAGTTGGCGTGCTGCCCACCTCTCCGAGGAGCTTGGGCACAGCTGGCAAAGCTCCTTGAGGGTGATGTAGAGCTGAAACAGACTCTCGCCCATCTCTGGGGACACCGCATCGCCCACAGCTGTGGTGTGGTCCTGTACCCGCTTGGCCACCTGTAAAAGAAAGGTGTGGAGGGTGGGGCACACAGCTGTCGTGGAGGGCATGGCCTGGGAGACAGGGGTGAGGGACTCACCAGCCACTGCAGCTCCCGGAAAGCCATGGGGAAGAGGTGGATCTTGAGGGCACTGGAGGAAAGGCGTCAGGTGTTACCCAGTGGCACACACCAGGGTCCCTGTGGTTCCAGTTCTGAGCCAATGCCCTACTACCTCCCGACCTAGCTGTCTGCTCACTTGTGGAAAATCTTGTCCCACGTGCGCTGGCACTGGTGCAGGTCGCCAATGATGTCCTGTACCAGGCCTAGCAAGGCCTTGCCTGCCTCCAGCATGCCCTTCAGGGACAGAGGTGGGCTAAGCAGGGGTGCCAGAGGTAGGCACCACCCCCTACCCTCCCTGCCCAGCACCCTCACCTGCATCATGGGCTGATGGTGCTGCTGCTTCAGGTGGAACCATTCAGTGGTGCCAGTCTGTCAACAAAGAGGCCGTGAGCAGGGAGGGATTGCCAGCCCCAGCACGTGTCTCCCCCATCCCCAGCGTGACTGCCACACCTGCAGGGCCTCAGTCACCAGCTGGGGCAACGGGGCAGTGTTGGGGCATAGCTCTCTGAAGGCCTTCATCTTGCACATCTGTACCAGGACCCTGCAAGGCAGAAGGAGCCATGTCCAAAGTGCCTGCTGCACCATACTCACTCCTCCCACCCCTCAGCAGCCCTGCTGCTCCCTCATCCCTGACCCCACCGAGGAACAGGAGAGGAGCCACTGACCTGAGGAGAGACTGCAGCCGGGCTGGGGAGTCCGAGACAGAGAGGGGGAAGACGGAGCGGAACCTCCGGATGAGGGAGAGACCGTAGGCCAGCAGGGAGCTGAATGAGGCAGCCAGCTCTTCCTCCTACAGGGCCAAGAGAGGCTTTAGGGGGCCTGGACAACCTCTGCTTCTCCCCTTCCCCTTCCCTGGGCCCTGCCTGCCGGCCCAGCACCCCTCACCCACTGCACGCCCACCTGTTCTGCCTTGAGCCGGCCCTGGATCCACTGGTACTCGATGCTGGTGATGGGGTGCAGGAGGCAGCTGCTGGGGAACTCCAGACTCTGGTAAAGGCGGCTGTAGGCCAGCCACTGCCTGCAGGGACAGGAAACCCTCTGCTGGGCTGGGAGGAGGGAGTTACCCTCTCCTGTTCACAAAGCCTCAGGTGGAGGGAATCACCTCCCTCCTCCAGGGCACCTGGTGGAGCCCCATCTATCAGCATAGATTGAAAACTAGTGGCTCAATGTGATAAGCAGGATTTTTTTTTTTAGGTGGAGTCTCGCTCTGTCACCCAGGCTGGGGTACAGTGGTGCGATCTTGGCTCACTGCAACCTCCACCTCCTGGGTTCAAGCAATTCTCCAGCTTCTGTCTCCCAAGTAGCTGGGACTACAGGCATGCACCACCATGCCCAGCTAAATTTTGCATTTTTAGTAGAGATGGGGTTTTATCATGTTGGCCAGGCTGGTTTTGAACTCCTGACCTCAAGTGATCCACCTGCCTCGGCCTTTCAAAGTGTTGGGACTACAGGTGTGAGCCACCATGCGCAGCCAGGATTTTTGTTTGTTTGTTTTCACTGACGCTTTTCAAATTGCCCAGATTGAGATCTTTGTGATTTTAAAACTTCAGGATTGCTTGCTGTTTTTGAAAAATTGGGAGGCCGACAGAGGCAGATCACCTGAGGTCAGGAGTTTGAGACCAGCCTGGCCGACATGGTGAAACCCTGTCTCTACTGAAAATACAAAAATTAGCTGGGCATGGTGGTAGTCCCAGCTACTTGGGAGGCTGAGGCTGAAGAATAGTTTCAACCCAGGAGGTGGAGGTTGCAGTAAGCCAAGATCAGGCCACTGCACTCCAGCCTGGGTGACAAGAGGGAAACTCCAGCTCAAAAAAAAAACAAAAGAAAGGAAAAATTGGATCTAAGGACTTGAGCCTTCAGACACATGTGGCATCATCGAGAACTTCCTTTCAGATGGTTTGGGGGACATCACACACATGAGGTCCAGTGGGAGGGCAAAGGATGAGGGATAGGGAGAGAAGCAGACTGGGGACAGGCCAAGGTCCCTGCTGGACACTGAGCCACCTGCATTATTATGCTTGGGCCCTGCAGGCAAACCAGGCTCCTCCCCATCTGGTGCCTGCTTCAGTCCCCAGCCTCACCGCCATCCCACCCTCTAATCCGATCACCCACCTGCCTGACATCCTAGCAGTACACACGCTGACCCTGGCCCAGAAATGCACTCCCCAGTCTCCCTCTACCTCCCTCTCAGATGCCAAGTCCCAGCCCAGGCCTGAGGCAGCATCCTGCTCCTATTCGTTGTTCCCTGATCAGCCCCTGGCTGTGTCCCATCTCTCTCTCTCTCTTTTTTTTTATTTGAGACGGAGTCTCACTCTGACGCCCAGGCTGGAGTGGAGTGGCACAATCATAGCTCACTGGAACTTCCACCTGCCAGGTTTAAGACATTCTCATGCCTCACCCTCCTGAATAGCTGGGATTACAGATGTGTACCACCACACCTGGCTAATTTTTGTATCTTTAGTAGAGATGGGGTTTCAGCATGTTGGCCAGGCTGGTCTCAAATTCCTGACTTCAAGTGATCCGCCTGCCTCGGCCGCCCAAAGTGCCGGCATTCCAGGTTTGAGCCACCGCACCAGGCAGGCTGTGCCTATCTCTGCCCTTCTCACCTGCGCTGGAATGGCTGTGACCCTGTGCCTTCCCCGGCATTCCTAGGACCTGACGTGACTAGCCCTCAACACAGACCTGTTCATGTCGGGCATAGCTTTGTTGAGTTGAAAGCTATGACACTGGAAAACAGGGCTGGGGTTAGGGACAGGGTCCATGCTCAAATGCCCAGAAGGACTCAGGAGATGAAAGTGACTGAAGTGGGCCTAGTGGCAGCCATGATGCGCAGAAGCGGACACGTCACTCTGCTCTGGCCACTCAAAAAAGCAGCAAAATGGCGGGGTGTGGTGGCTCATGTCTATAATCCCAACACTTTGGGAGGCTGAGGAGGGTGGATCACCTGAGGTCAGGAGTTCAAGACCAGCCTGACTAACATGGAGAAACCCTATCTCTACTAACAATACAAAATTAGCCAGGTGTGATGGCGCATGTCTGTAATCTCAGCTATTTGGGAGGCTGACAGGAGAATCACTTGAACCCAGAATGCAGAGGTTGCGGTGAGCCAAGATCACGCCATTGCTCTCCAGCTTGGGCAAAAAGAGTGAAACTCTGTCTCAAAAAAAAAAAAAGGGCAGCAAAATTCTGGCCCTGCAGTTCTAGCACTTACATTATGAGAAGCTGGAGATCTGAACAGTATGTGAAATCTCCAGATAGTCTTTTCCAATTCTTTTTAGAAACGAGGTCTCACTCTGTGGTCCAGGCATGAGTGTGTTGGTGTGATCATAGCTACTGGAGCCTCGAACTCTTGGGATCAAGTGATCCTCCTGCCTCAGTCTCCCAAAGTCCTGGGATTCCAGGAGTGAGCCACTGCATCAACCGAATCTCTAGACCTTTTTTTTTTTAGACGAAGTTTTGCTCTTGTTACCCAGGCTGGAGTGCAATGGTGCGATCTTGGCTCACTGCAACCTCCGCCTCCTGGGTTCAGGCAATTCTCCTGCCTCAGCCTCCTGAGTAGCTGGGATTACAGGCACGTGCCACCGTGCCCAGCTAATTTTTTGTATTTTTAGTAGAGATGGGGTTTCACCATGTTGACCAAGATGGTCTCGATCTCTTGACCTCGTGATCCACCTGCCTCGGCCTCCCAAAGTGCTGGGATTACAGGCTTGAGCCACTGCACCCGGCCAGAATCTCTGGACTTTTTAAAGTTGGTAACTGATTCAAAACTTAAAACTCACATTTTGGGCCAAAGGGAACTCTGCTAAGAATTACACTTTGGGCTATCAGCTTGCAGGAGGGTGGGGGTGTGGGGGATCTGGTGGCTCAGGGGTTCTGCCCAGGCCTGTGAACTCACGCCATGGACTGGTGGAAGTCGGACAGGTCCTTCTGTGTGGCATGGAGAAAGAGGACGGTGGCAGCCTGGGGACTCAACGATCCGTCCCAGGAGGTGCTGCCTGCCTGAGGGAGCAGATGGAGGAGTGTTAGACCCGAAGGGCAGCCCTGGCCGCGCCCAGCTCCGGGAGGGAGGGCAGTACCTGGTGCTGGGTGACCTCGTGGGACACAAGCTGCTGCAGAAGGTGGAGGTGCACTGTGTAGCTGGGCTGCGAGCGGCTGGCCAAGGTGGCTCTCTGCAATGAGGCCTCTGTAAGCAGTCAGGGCCCACACCGGTGCAGCCAGCCCCCCAACCCAGCCAGACAACCGCAGGAGCTGGGCACAGTCACTTGCCCAGGATTCCACCTACCCGCTTATGGATGAGCTGGAACTGGAGGTGGCACTGGCCTCGGTCTGGGTAGGTCTCAGTGCGGGGTTCCAGGGGGTACCACTGGTCCTCTCGGCAGCGCAGGTCCTGGCAGGCGGGGATGCCCGGCCCATGAGTGTCAGAACCTCACAGAGTCAGGGCAGCAGAGGCAATGGGAGGCGGACCCCAGGCTCAATTTCGTGCTGACAAGGAGCCTCTCCCCAGAGTCCCTCCCAACCCCCTCCCTCTGCCTCGCTCCTGGACCCCTTTCCCCATTCTCCTCACCTGCAGCCTCAGAACCACATTCCCCAGAAAGTCGTCCTGGCCTTTGTCCTTCCGGGCCTCCTTAAAGATCCTGCATCAGGCAGGCTCCCGTGAGGGAGATGTCGCAAGCATTGGAAGGAATCAGGCTGGAATCTACCCCCTGCCACAGCAACCTGGACCCCAAAGGCGCCTGCACCCCAGCACTCAGTGTGCATGTCAGGGGATGGGGGGCAGAAGGACCCCCACTCCTTCCCTGTGAGCCCTGCAACACCCACCTGCGAAGCCCATGCAGGTCTGTGAGCTCCCCAAGCTTCTGTCGGACAGACTCCACGGTGTCCAGGTCCCTGGTGGGACAGGTTTGAGAAGGAAGCAGAGAGAGTGCTTATGCCCTCTTCCAGGAGGAGGTTCTGCCTCTTCAACTCACATCCTTTCTCTTCCCATCCCTAGGGGCAGGCCAGGTCACTCACCACATGTCCAGATGAAAGCTTGAATTGGTGATATCCTCAAACTCCCTGTATGGAGAAAAGGACATGGTTGAGGGCCCTGGAGGGTGGATGCCCCCAGACAAAGCCTTAAATGACCCCAGCCCAGAGCCATGGAGTTGCAGAGTTGTCACCTATCCTGCCAAACTCCTTGCCTCCCAGCCGCATCCCTGCAGCTTTTTTTTTTTTTTTGAGATGGAGTCTGGCTCTGTCACTCAAGCTAGAGTGCAATGGCGCAATCTCGGCTCACTGCAACCTCCGCCTCCCAGGTTCAAATGATTCTCCTGCCTCAGCCTCCTGAGTAGCTGGGATTACAGGGATGAGCCACTGCACCCCGTCCTGCCTCCTTTAAGGTACAGCTTTAGGCACCCCCCAGACTCACCCACAAGGGCCCGAGACCCTCCTTGCCCCCAGCACGAGTGGCATTCATGTTGTTCTGTTCCATCTGCCCTACTATCTGTCTACCATGCCTCGAGATGGGCTCTTCCTCCAGTCTTTGCCCAGGGCCAAACCCCCTCCCCTGAGCCAGGAAGACCTACTCATCTCAGTGCCTGGGGGAGACCCTGCCACCCAGAGGAGACCCAGACAGAGTGGGGGCTGGGGCGGGGCCACCTACAGGATGAAGGTCTCGTCCCAGACAGGGTTGAGCGTCTGCGTGACAACCTGCGTGCGGTGGGTCTGCTCCTCAGGGATGGTGTGCTTCACCACAGCCTTCTGCCGCCGCCGGGACCCAGGGCTGCCCCCTGGTGCACCCACCCCCTGCTCAATGCCCAGCAGGCAGTAGGGGTCGCTGAACCCTGGGGAGGAGTGGAGAAGATGAGGCAGCTAGGGACTTGGCTGGGTCCAGGGGAGAGGCCCTCATAACCTCCCCCAGGGCTGAGCCTCCTCCTGGGGAGAGAGAAGGGGACCAGTAGCATGGGGGTGGGGCAGCGCCACAGGGCCTCTGGGAGGTGGGTGCTCAAGTCAAGAGTCCTGGGGCCAGGCTGTGATGGCAGAGGACGGAGCCAGGAAGAAGCCCCCCGGGAACCCCGCCCCATGCTCACCACTGACATCTTTGCCCAGAATGCCCTTGGCCTGTTTCACTGTTGCCTTCAGACAAAATGTTGGCTTCTGGACGGACAGGAGGGGTGGCCTGAGTCCCTGAGGTGGGGTGGACTTCCCAGACCACTCCTTGCCCAGGTGGCCCCGGCCCTGGATTACCTCAAGCTCCCTGACCCGCTGCAGTGCCTGCTGGTGCTCCTCCGGCTCCACGTGGAAGGCCTGATGGGGAGGCAGGCAGGTGGGTGGCTGGGAGCACGGGACGGGGAGCTGCAGGAAGGGGGTGGGGTGGGGGCTGGGCTCACCTCCTGCAGGTATCGCAGCAGCTCAGAGGCCTCTGTCACATGGTTGGGCTCAGGCTGACCGAGGCGGTGCAGGACCGTGTAGAGCGCGTCCTCATAGATCTGGGCCCGCTGGGACACACAGGGTCACCTTGGGAACCCCATCAGCCACCCCTGGCACCAACACCTCACGCCAAGGGCAGGACAAGGGGTGGCTTGTGCAGTGGAGGGGGCTGAGACCCAGGAGTTCCCCCCTACCACAAGCTGCTGCCATCAGCGTCGGCCAGCAGGAGAGTGCACAGCACCCTCCCCACCTCTCTGCACCCCAACACTCCACTCTTACCTGTTCTGGGGAGAAGTGGTGGGATGGAGGCTGGATCTACAGAGCAAGGTGGAAAGGCAGGGTGTCCGGGGAGGCCCAGAGCAGCCTCAGGTTGGGCAGGAAAGGCTCCTCCAAGGCCTGAACCAGGCCAAGGACATGGGGCCCCAGCACCCTGGCCTCCAGCCCCACCGACGCCCGCACCTGTTCCCCCAGCAGGCTTCCTGGGGGTCTGTCCCCTGGCCTGCTGTGGCTGAGGTCCATGGGTGCCCAGTATCGCGAGGCCTCCACACCCACACCCTACCTCCCTCCCTTCCCCAGAGGAAACAGCTCTTATCGGTGGCGGCTGCTCCTCACCCAGCTGCGGAAGTGAGGCTAGCAGTGGAGGTGAGGGTGGTGCCACACTGCCCTCGGGGTCTGCTGCTCCCTGAACAGCTCACCCCACACCCGGGATGCCCCCACCTAACAGAGCTGGTGCCTCTGGAGCTGGAGGAGCAGGGGATGGGGAGTCAGGCCCACCAGAGGAGGGATTCAGAGAGGCTCAGACCACAGGGCCTCTCCACAGTGGCCCAGAGGACACCTGGCAGCCCCTGCTCTGTAGCCCACAAGGCTCTGCCCAGGGAGGGGCAGGCAGGAGGTTCCCTGGTCCTCAGTTTCAGCCTTCCAGAGGTGGGGTCAGACGGCAGGGCACCCAAACCGAGAACACAGTGCTCCCCCAGGCTGACTCTCTCCCCGGTGAGGTCACTCCTACCTCTGGGGCCGTTTGGGGCAGAGGATCCTGTAGATCTTTGACTCTTTGACGCCTTATCTTGATGGCTTGGCGCAAGAAGGGAGGGCGCTGCTGCGGATGGGAGAGGAGTGTCGCCATGGTGGCCTTCTCTGCCCTTCCCTGTCCGCTGGTGCTGGGTGAAGACAGCAAAGCCACAGGATTACGCAAAGAGCCTGGGGCTGCCACCCTCTGCAGGGGAGGTTGGGGGTGGTGGACAGAAGGGTGAGGGTGTCACTGCCTGGGAGAGTCGGTCTCCCAGGCCCACTGCACCTTCCCCAGCCAGGATCCCTGCAGGACTCTCCTCCAGCTAGAGCAGAAGGTGGACTCTGTGGGCAGGCCTGGTCCCCCTCCCCCCTCCCACAAAGGCCCTGAGAAGGAGCCAGCGCTCTCAGCGGGCAGGGGGGCGGGGTGGCCAGCGTCCTGCCCCATCCATGTGCTGTGCCCAGGCTGGGCCAGGCACTGAGGGAAGCTGACATGGGCCCCAGGGGTTCTCACTCCACTTCTCCAAGTGGGTCTAGATGGGGGTGGGGTGGGATGGGGGGGTGGGGCGGGGCTCAGAGTGGGGGCTCCCGAGAAGCATCTCCCTGGAGGACAATTGCTCAGCCTGTTTGGCCCCACAGGTGACATTCCATGGAGATGACGGGGCCAAGCCGTGCCGGGCAGAGACAGCCCTGTGGTCCCGCCCCCCGACCTTGGTGGTTAGAAGGGTGCTCCCTTTAGGTGCCCTTGAAGGGGGCTTAGCCAAGCCGCAGAGAGCTACGGGCCAGGCTGGCCAGGAGGAGGCAGAGTGGCCACTGCCTGATCTCTCCTGAGGACAAACTTGGCTCCCAGAGACAGGGAAATGCGCCTCAGCTCGGGGCTTTAATAGAACTCAGGCCTGCCCACACTGTGCCCAGTGCTGGTCTGGGGACTCGGGGGCGTGTGGGCCTGGCCATGGCCTTTAGCCATTTCCCACCCTCCTGTCCCTCCAAGTTCATAGAAGGGCGAGTGATGTGGGTGGTGGCAAGCCCAGCTTTGCTGCCCAAGTGTCCCTGTCACAGGTCCTGACGTACTCCGGGCTCCTCCCTCCAGCAGCCAGGCCTTGGGCCAGGGCTGCCATTCCCTAAGGAGCCAGCAGGGGGAGACATGGAGGCCCGACCCCCCTCCCATCCAGGCCGGGCCACAACCACCTCTGTCGGTCAGGCCCTGGGGACTCAGTGGGGGAGGGACACAGCTGCTGAGCAATGACCACCAGAAACGGATCCAGAGGCCAGAGCTGTCCTGGGGACCAGACAGGCAGGGCCGTGAGAATCCTCCCGTGGGAGGGAACCGTCCCGGAGCCTCCAGAGCCCTCAGCAGCCAGAAGGCTCTCTCCTTCCGAAAGAGACCCCCCTGGGTCACCACATGCAGAGCCAGAAACGGTCAGGTTATTTCACTTTTACTATTTCACATTTTCAGCAAACAAGTCAAGGTGCAAACAGGGTTTATTTCACATTAATATATTAACTGGATTTTTTGTCAAATAAATAGGGAATTCTCTTTAAATAACCATCTCCTCACTTCACGGCTGGTCCAGGAACAAGCAAGTGTTAGCGCATCCAGGGGCACGAATACAGCTTACGGGGAGATGCGGGCTGTGGGGCTGGTGGCAGGTCCCGGACGGCTTGCAGGGTCGGGGGCCCTTGTTTCCCGCCCACCCAGCAGCCCCCAAGTGGACAGACATGCATTCTCCAGTTCCAGTCAGGAAGCCCCTTCTAGAGGGAGGTGACAGGGGAGGGAATGCAAATTCCAGAAACACCAGCAGAAGGCAGAAGGGCTTCCTTCCAGCCTCAGCGGCCCCACCCAGCGCCACCCAAGCCCTGGGAGCTCATTTTACAGCTTCAAAAGTCACACAGGTGACAACAGCATGACGCAAGACAGAGAAGGGAGGGTGGCTGAGTGGAATGTGGGCATGGTGGCCTTCTGAGACCAGCACAGACCAGCGGAGGGAATGTGAGCGGGGCCTGGCAGCCCGGGAAGATGCCTGGCTGGTCTGAAGTGGCTCATGAGGCTGAGTGTAGCAGTGGCTGACAGACTGAGGGCACTGGACTGCAGCGGAGGAGGTGGCCAGAGAGTCCCTTTGAGGGGAGAAGCTATGAGAGTGAAACAGAAACAGGGGATGCCCCGTGCTCCCAGGAGAACCCCAGATGGTGAGGGGGCACACTGGGCAGCGTCATGGGCTCCAGGCTGGCATGGGAAGCTGGGCAGCACCTCTCCCGAGGCCAGGGGCATTAATGTCCCACAATAGTTCCTGGTAATTGTTTATGATTGGACCTGGAGGGAGAACAAGGCACCCCCCTCCCCTGCCCAACCCCAGTGCGGCCCTGATGGGAGGGGTAGGATAGAGAGATGAGGGTGGGAGGCAGGAGGCAGGGAGGCAGGAGGGCCTACTGGGTCTTCTTATCTTCCGGTGGGTAGTAGGGAGGTGGCGGTGGCTGGCTCTAAAGAAGGGAGAAAAGGAAGATTCTCGTTAGGTTTAAAACAAGACTCGGCCTTCCCCCATAGTTCGCAGCATCTGCAGCTGCAGGGCTGCACCGGCACAGCCGTGACCTCTCACCGTGGGCATGTAGACATTATGAGGGTTGCCTGGGTTGTAATAGGCGCTGGCGGCAGCTTCGGCGGCCTTGGCTTCGGCTGTGAGAGCAAACACACCCACTGTCGGTGACAAGTTCTCCCCTCCTCCTGAGTTCAGCCAGAGACCCTGGGCCCCCATGGCTCAGGGCAGCTGGTGCTGGGGCTCTAGTCCCACCAATAAGAGCAGCAGGTGAGGCTTCCTGAGCACTTGCCACATGCTGGCATCTTGTGTCTCACCTCAGCTAATCCCTGAGTCAACCCCACCAGGGTGCCACTGTGACCAGCTGAGTGCAGATGAGAGGACCGAGGCACACAGGGTGACCCTCCTTGCCAAGGTTGCGTGGCTGGCTAAGGGATGGGGGTGGGGCCGGACTCTAGCTCTGAACCACCAGCCTGCAGCCCTGCTGGGCCCCTGGGGTAGCCCAGAGGCCATCCATCCTCTGTGGCTCCCCGCAGGCTCTGGCCATTCTGAGACTCTGTGTGCGACCTTGGGGAGGAAAAGGCTGGTCCCGAAGGGCTGCCAGCACCCAAGGGCCCTCACCTGCAGGAGTGGAGGGGACATCAGGGCCGCTGACTGGAGGCTCCATGGGCCCGGGGTAGGGCGGTGGTGGGGGCTGCACATATCCCATGGCCCCGTCCATCATGGGAGGTCCTGGGTAGAACTCTGCTCAGCAAGAGAGCGATAGAGAACCGGTGAGCACGCCGGCTGCGGCCCCTCCGAGGGCTGGCACCCCTCAGGCCTCTCTAGCTCTTCGTCAGTCCTGAAGCAACGCAAGGAGTGAAGTCTCCCTGGCCTGGGGGGAGCCTGGGTGGGTGGGCTCATGAGGGGAGGGTGGGCAGCAAAGGACACACTCACCAGGCGGGGGCGGTGGATAGGGGTAGCCAGGAGGGCAGGGGTACATTCCATTGGCGACTGGTGGGGGATAGACATAGGCCCCGCTGGGCATGTAAGAGTAGCCATAGGCTCCATTGGGGGCTTCACCTCTGGAGGCTACAAGTACAAGGGGAGAGAGAAATGAGCGTGGCCTGCCTGGGGCGGGGAGACGGTGGGCCGCTGCCTGCAGAGGGGAGCTATGGGTGCCGGGAACGTGCCCAGCAGACATGCCCTGCCCGCCCCACTCCACTAGCCACCCACACTCGGGGCTGCCTTGCTCAGGGATGGGGTGATGAGGAGGATAGGAGAGGTCAGAGCCAGGGCAAGGCAAGGGCAGAGGGGTGGACAGAGGCCAGGAGAGAGGCTCGGGGCTGGGGTGGGGATGAGCTGGCGGAGGATGTCTGCAGGACCCATCGCTCGGTCATCTGAAATGGCTGCAAAACCGCAGTTCAATGGTTGGGTTGGGTGTGTGTTTTCTGAGGCCATTGTGAAAGGCCCCTGAGTCCACACTGCTTTGTCAGAATGCCATCCAGCTGCTCCTGACAGGGAAGTGCAGCCTCTGAGGTACAGGACAGGGCTGATGCCAGTTACAGCTTTTCTTCTCAACTCCTAGGCCTGGTCAGCCTGGTGCCCAGACACTTACCTCCTGAGTGCTTAAAAAAGCAAAACAAAAATGAAGCAAACCCAAACCAATCCCCCTCCATGTTCAATGTGGCCTTGGCTCCTAATCTTCGGAGCCTGGATACCTTGAGATGCCACCTGGAGCATCCGCTGTCCGAACTCTATGGCGCCCCCTGCCATGAACGTCAGCTTGTAGGAAGCAGAGCCTTCCCAGCCACCTGTGAGGGGAAAGACAGTGGATAAACAGCGCAGGCAAAGAAAATCCATGCCCAAAGAGATGGCTGTTTTCATCTCCAGGGCACTATCCAGCGCCCAGGAGGCTGTGGGGACTGCGCCTGCACTGTGATGGGGACTTCCCGGTGCCATGGCTTCCAGCCTGCTGCCTGCATAAAAGCCTGGCCCTGCCGTACGGCTTTCCCCTTTTGAACAGGAGCCTTTTCTTTCTGGAACAATCCTGTCCTCCTACTCTGGCCCAATATGTCCCACAGGAGCCAAGGGTGCCCTGATTTGGTTTTAGAACTAACATCAAGGTTTCTCTCCCTTCCCAGCCAAGCCAGCAGCTTCACAGGAACAAGCCCACTTGGCATTAACCGATCTTGACATTCAGAGCAGATCTCTTGTCCTAAGGGGGCCCAAGGATGGAACCCAGACCCTCTAGTTTGACTTCTGCACAAAGGGGGACCAAGAGCACCTCAATAGCAAGGGTGGGGTCTGGCTGGGGGTGAAGGGGAAGGCAAGTTCAATGCAGAGGTCTCTGGGGCCTGCCAAAAGGCCAGCCCCAAAGTGGGGTGACCCTGGCTTCCCAGAGGCAGCTGCCTCTTCCTGGCTCTCAAGAAAAGGCCCCTCTCAAGAGCCTCACTGATGCAGCTCCTTCCTGAGTCTGAAATTTGTACGCACTCGCCAAGTCGCACTCAGCATCCTGACTCAGTCTGCAGGCTTCTGTGGACTTCACGCTCTGAAAAGCTGATCTGAGCTGCCGTCTTTAACGCCAACATTTTCCCCAGCTCTTGGCAAACAAACCCCACCAGCTGGCAGCCCAGAGCTGGGAAGAGGTCACAGCTAGGGCGATAAGGGTCTGAAGGGGACACTCCCACGGCAGCAGTCAGAGGCTCCCACAGAACCTCCCTGGAGGCCCCATCCGGGTCCCTGAGTCCCCATCACCTACCTCCCGCTTCGGCCTTCACTGTTCCCTTGATGTAGTTTGCACCAAACACAGGCTGCTTGATCTCACAGTCTTTCATGAGATAGAATGGCATCATGAAGGACTGCATGGCATCCTTCCCCTTGGACAGAAAGATGACCTGCAGGGAGACAGGGTGAGGCCATGAGCACCGGAAGCACAGCACATGTGCCACGTTTCCTGCCTATTTTTCCTGGGAGTGACGAATCCACTCCTAGTGCCAGGGTCCAGCAGCCCCACAGCTCTCTCTGTGCCAGACGCTTGGAAAAAGCTCTGGGAAGAGAAAGGGCTTACCGCAGCCTGGGGAGGCCAAGCTCAAGTACGAGGGAGAAACATGTGCTGGTCAAGACAGTATGAGCAGGGCAGACTGCTCTGTCACTGACGTGTGGCAGTGGGGAAGTGGTGGCGGTGGTGCCTAAGTGAGGGGGTTACAAAGCTAGGAAAGGACAGGCAATGGCGAGGCAGGGATGGGCTCCTGAAAGAGGGGGATCTCCAGCCTTAGCTCCTCAGAACTGAGAGTGATGGCACAGCAGGTCGTTAGCTCCCAGCGAAGGGGGCTAGAAACAGCAACACATGCTCTGCATCTGTGCCTGGAAAAATTTTTATTTTTTTGAGACAGAGTCTCACTCTGTCACCCAGGCTGGAGTGTAGTGGACCCATCATGGCTCAATGCAGCCTCTGCCTCCCAGGTTCAAGTGATTCTCCTGTCTCAGCCTCCCGAGTAGCTGGGATTACAGGCAAGCATCACAACGCCTGGCCAACTTTTGTATTTTTAGTAGAGACAGGGTTTCACCATGTTGGCCAGGCTGGTCTGTAACTCCTGACCTCAGGTGATCCACCTGCCTTGGCCTCCCAAAGTGCTAAGATTACAGGCATGAGCCACCACACACAGCCAGAGTTTTAAACCCATGACTTTAATCTGTGACTGAAGATGCCAACTTGAGCCTCCAGAGATGGGGTTTTGAAACTCCCGTCTCTGCTAAGTAATGGAGATTAAAACTTGAAAACGTGCTCCTCTTTTTCCAGCTGTCTTTGAGTCTAAGTCTTTTTTTTGGGAGGGGGCAGGGTTTCACTCTGTTGCCCAGGCTGGAGTGCAGTGGCACAATCCCAGCTCAATCCAGCCTCAGCCTCCCCTGGCTCCAGTTATCCTCCACCTCTGCCTCTCAGGTAGCTGGGACTACAGGCCATGTGCTAGCACACCCAGCTAATTTTTATATTTTTTTTGTAGAGATGGGGTTTCTCCATGTTGCCCAGGCTGGTCTCGAACTCCTGAACTCAGGTGATCCATCCGCCTTGGCCTCCCAAAGTGCTGGGATTAAAGGCATGAGCCACCACACTGGCCTGTCTTTGAGTCTAAGTCTTGAGTAGCCACAGCAGCAAACCTTTTCCAAGAACATCCATTTGTATTTCTCAACCTCTCAGAGTCCACATGGGTGACTCTCAGGCAAGGCCCGTTCTGCAGCCTGGCATTTGTCATTCCGTGGGGCAGTACTGGGCTCTCTGCCCAGCCCAGAGGCCGTGTCATACAACTGTACCCTGTTTACTGCATTTCTCACTCTGGATACGCGCAAGTCTTCATGAGCTACTCTCACAGAAAACAAAATATTCACAATAATCATCTCTGGCCTCCAGGCCCAAGTCCTCCCAGCGGCTGCATCCAACTCTATGGAGATTTTGCAGCAGCAGCTCTGAAATTGACATGGGTTCACTGCCCGGTGGTCAGGTCAGTTACATGAAGAGCCTGGTGGGTCTAGAATCCAGGAGCATGTGACAGAGAAACAGGCAGAGTGAGGCGCTAACATTCACCAGGGTTCAGAGGCCACCTGACTATGAGGCTGAGGTGGACTTAAGGCTAAGTCCATCACTAGACCGGGTGCACTCACATCACTAGACCGGGTGCAGTAGCTCACGCCTGTAATCCCAACACTTTGGGAGGCCAAGGTGGGCAGACTTCCTGAGGTCAAGAGTTTGAGACCAGCCTGGTTAACATGGCGAAACCCATCTCTACTAAAAATACAAAAATTAGCAGGGCAGGCTGGTGCATGCCTGTAATCCCACCTACTTGGGAGGCTGAGGCAGGAGAATCGCATGAACCCAGGAGGTGGAGGTTGCAGTGAACCGAGATGATGCCACTGAACTCCAGCCTGGGTGGCAGAGCGAGACTCCATCTCAAAAAAAAAGAAAGAAACAAAGACTCACATTACCTCCAACAGCAGCAACAAGCCTCTAAAGCAGTTGCCCTGCTGTGTAACTCACCCGGTAAGGGGTAAGGTAGACGGTGCCTTTCTTGGTCCCTTTGAAGGCTTCTGGCACGTTCTTCATGTCATTGAATGTGAGTTCCACATGATCATAGGACATCAGGATGCTGTGGTGAGAAAAGAGGAAAAGCCTTGGTCAGACAGTATGGAGATGTGGTATCACCCAGACACTGGGCCTTTCTCCCAAGCAGCTGTCCAGCACATCAGCTCTCGTAACCATCTCAACAGTGCTGCATTAAAACCAATCACAGGGCCAGGCACAGGGGCTCACACCTGTAATCCCAGCACTTCAGGAACCTGAGGCGGGTGGATCGCCTGAGCCCAGGAGTTTGAGGCCAGACTGGCTAACATGGTGAGACCCCATCTCTACAAAAAAACAAAAACTAAAAACAAACAAACAAAAAAACCCATTACTCTAGCCATGGAAGAAATGAGCAGGTTGGGGTTCTATAAAATTTCCCAAAGCCTGCTTGCACAGCCCCAAACGATCACCATTGTAGCAGAGCCGCAGGGCTCTGGAGAGGCCATCATCCCCTAAGCAGGTTAGAAGAGCTGGCTTAACTCTTCTATTTTCTTTTAAGTCCTTGTGATGGATGTTGTTTTTATTGGCTTGCTTTTCAAGCCTAATATATAAACACGTCTAAGAGATAACTGTACACATCACAATAGGACCACCTTCAGGGTTCATTTAAACCTGGGTTTTTAGCTGGTTCTGCCGGAAAGTCTGTCCATGAAGCCCTTGAGATGATCGTGTACGTCACATGTGCATTTTCTGGGAGGAGAGTTCAGTTTTCATCATTCTCAAAGGAGTTCACGACTTGAAGAATAAAGTTCACTATTTATCAATTTTTTAATTTTGAGATGGAGTTTCACTCTTGTCGCCCAGGCTGGAGTGCAGTGGCACGATCTCAGCTCACTGCAACCTCCACCTCCTGGGTTCAAGAGATCTTCCTGCCTCCACCTCCCAAGTAGCTGGGATTACAGGCATGCAGCACCATGCCTGGCCAACTTTTTTGTATTTAATAGAAACAGGGTTTCACCATGTTGGTCATGCTGGTCTTAAACTCCTGACCTCAGGTGATCCACCTGTCTTGGCCTCCCAAAGTGATGGGATTACAGGTGTGAGCCACCATGCTGGGCCTAATTATCAAAATTTGAATGCTGGATTTAAACTTCAATTGTTATAGATACAACTTATTCAGACAGGAGGCTGAAGCACTTTCTAAAACAAGGCACGCCTTATTTAGCAAGACTGAGCTCTAAGCCAGGTAGAAGGCCCAGCAAGATGGATAGTCTTGTCTCAGAAAGTTCCACAGAGACAGAAAGAACAACAGTCCCTAGAGATGTTGCCAAATGGTATGAAAAACTGGCTGGGCCTGGGAACTGACTCACACAGAGATGCAACAAGCCAATGTGAGGTGTCTCTGATTACAGGATAAAAAGATTCACACAGTTCTGTTTGTCTTCTGCCTCCCCCCACATATCACAACTTTCTCTGATAGGGGAAGGGTAAGTGGGAAACCACTGGTATTAAAAAAAAGAGAAGTACCTCTCAGAGAAAAGAAGGAATTACCAGAAACAGGCTGCGCCCATCACACTCTGAGCAGGTAAAATGGACGGAAAGTGAGCATCCTGTGGTCTGGGTCACTCTAGGCATTTTCCTCTGACTCATCAAACATTCCCAACTCACAGGGCACCTGGATGCTGGCCTTAGCTGGGTACAGGGCTCTGATGTCCCCTTTGGGGATGCAGATGCCTCCTAAGCTCCTTCAAGAGGTATTTCAGGGTTGGCATAGTTCAACCCAGGCTGGTTTGATTTTCTTTACTTTTTTTTTTCCTTTTCTATCCATGGAATCACAGAACGGTCTGATTTTCAATACTCAAGGAACAAAAGGAGAGAGAAGCCATTTGAGGAGCCCAGAGGTTGGAGGAGAGACAGAATGCAATGAGCAAGGGGTGGGGAGGGCGGAGTAGAAAGAACCTTGAATTAGGAGACCTCTGCCTTCAGGGGTGACTCAAACCAACAGGCATTCAAGAGAAGAGGCAAGGGACTGACTTTACGGACCCACACAGTGCCAGGAACTGTCAGACATCTGATCAACGTCACCTGTTTAATTTCACCTCTGGGGCCTCAGTTTCTTACCTGGAACCTGATCGGTTCTGGAACATACTGGAAGCCTGTATGATGGTAGTTAATCCTATTAACTTTGGAGTCAAGACTCCTTTCCTGGAATTGCCATCTCTGTTACTTACAGAGTTGTGATTTCGGGCAAGTTACTTAACCTTTCTGTGCCCCACTTTACCTACCTGTGAAATGTGGACAGTAGTAGATTGTACCGCACAGAATTTTTATTAAACAAGGTAGAAAAGGCGCAGAGTCTGACACGTAGTAACGTTGTAGACGTTCAATAAATGACAATTATTTTTGTTTGGGGATCCTCCCAGCTACTAAACTCACAACTCTGGGAAGGGGTTTCAAGAATCACCCTAGGCCCCACCGGTCGTCCCACCCCCAATTCCCAGCTGACAGCAATCTCCCGGCCCTCCCCCCACGGCCCACCCACCTTCCTTCAACCCCGCCCCCAGCCGTTCCCCTCCAACCTCACTCCATCAGCGCTCCCTCTTCAGGGGCTTATTCCCCGCCGCCCGCCGCCCGCCGCCCACTTCCTCGACACCGGAACTTTGGTCCTCCAGGATCCTTCCGCAGTGTTTTCACCTTTCGGTGTTGTTGACGATCACTCCACCGCCCTCCGAGTGATTCTTGTTGAGCGCCATAGTCTCTCCGACAGGGGTCCCGAGACTCACAAGGCAGTGCGCTTGCGCTCGTCTTAGGCCCGCCCCTAGTGGCGTCTTGTTATTAGAGTCAGCCAATCACAGCTCCAGCGCGGAGGCTGGCCCAACCACCTGACCCGAGCGTCACGTGGTAATAGTTTACTCCCTCTCCCTTCCCCCGTTCCGCCTGCGTAACAAACAAGATGAAGACTACAATTCCCAGCAGGCAACTCTCCGGAAACCTCGACCTCTCCCTATGCTGGAGGAAGGATTTATTCTGGAACTTGTAGTCTCCTGGACCATAGACCGGAATTGGCTCCATAATTTGCATAACCAATCGGCTTGTGCCATCCCCACCCCGCCTCCTTAGCGGAACCTAAGTAAACAGCCTTCTGGCAGGGGCGCAATCCTGGGGGTCTGCTCCCGCGTCCGGGAGGTTTAGCCGGCCGAGTGCGACCTGGACATGCTGTGGGATCGCCGAGCAGTCCTCTGATAGATGGGGCGCCTTCGTTCACTCAGCAGACGTTTATGGGGCGCTTGTGTGACTCTGGGGCCTTTAGCTGAGCCCGAGGCCCCGGCTCTTGGGGACGCGGTGGCTGGCGGCGTCCGATCACCCCGTCATCCGTCTCACCAATCCCAGCCCAGAGCCCGGGGGCAGGGAGAGTCCCGCGACGGGAGGGGAGATCGGTGCGCCCCGTCTGGATTCCACCACGTTCACGAGCCGGCCGGGCGCCCCTTGCAGCCTCCGCGCCGCCCTTGCGGTGGCGCGGTTCCCTCAAGGGCGCCCAGCGGGGGCCCGGCCGGAAGATTGAAGGCTGAGTGGGACTGGGCACGGCGCGAGACCGGCAGCCTCATAACTAGGACTTACAGAATAGGGCTGACTCATGCCAGCTCGTGACCCAGCCCTGGGCATCCTCCACGGGGCAGCTATCATTCCCTAACCGCCCCCCACAAACCCCCGCACTTCCAAGCTGAATCCGTGAGGCGGAAAGAGGGGGCTGCACTCCCAACGTGGTGGTTCCGCTACTCGTTAATCTTAAGGATCAGAGTTGGCTTTTCAGCAGACAGTTGCTTTCCTGACCCGCTGGGGCCAACCTCGCGATCCACCTGCTTGACTTCGCTTTCCAGGGAGGTCTCCCTATGTGAAGGAACAAAACTGCCTCACTAGAAAAGATCAGGAAACAGCAGCCTTCTGCGAGGTCCCTTGCAAGACTAGGTTGGACCTTGCAGGACAAGTACAGTGGATTAAGGATGGTGATACTGAGACCTACCCCAATGATTAGATGTATTTTGGCGCCTGCAATCTCTGCAGTCTTTAAAAAGAATGAAGTCAGACTGTGTCCTGATATGGAAAGATTGTCAAAGGTTATTAACACAGAATGCTGAATAAATATAGTATACAGAATGCTGTATAAATATGAATATAGTATACTGTATAAATATACAGAATGCTGTATAAAAACAGGCTGGGTGTGATGGCTCATGCACTTTCCGAGGCTAAGGTGGGCGGATCACCTGAAATCAGGAGTTTGAGACCAGCCTGACCAGCATGGAGAAACTCCGTCTCTACTAAAAATACAAAATTAGCCGGGCATGGTGGCACATGCCTGTAATCCCAGCTACTCGGGAGGCTGAGGCAGGAGAATCACTTGAACCTGGGAGGTGGAGATTTCAGTGAGCCAAGATTGCCCCAGTGGGCTCCAGCCTGGGGGACAAAGGAAGACTGTCTCAAAGAAAAAAAAAAGGAAAATCCCCCCAGCAAAGGGTATACAGCATTGGCTGTTCTAAGGACCACATAGATGGGGAGATGGACACAACCTGCCCGCCCCACTCCCACTCCTTTGCCAAACAGGTTGGAGGTAGAGCAGGTTCAGGCTTTGCTAGGCTTTGAAGCTTATACAATTCTGGAGGCTCTTTTGGTTGTTGATGTTTTTGTTTTTGCGACAGGGTTTCACTCTGTCACCCAGGTGCAATCATAGCTCACTGCCTCCACAGAACTGGGCTCAAGTGATCTGGAGGCTCTTTTTAAGAAATAAAATACACAGGCTGGGCACGGTGGCTCACACCTATAATCAATCCCAGCACTTTGGGAAGCTGAGGTGGGCAGCTCACCTGAGGTCAGGAGTTTGAGACTAGCCAGGCCAACATGGTGAAACCCCGTCTCTACTAAAAACACAAAAAATTAGCTGAGCGTGGTGGCGGGTGCCAGTAATCCCAGCTACTTGGGAATCTGAGGCAGGAAAATCACTTAAACCCAGGAGGCAGAGGTTGCAGCAAGCTGAGATCACATCATGGCGCTCCTGGCAATAAGAGCAAAACTCCGTCTCAAAAAAAAAAGAGAAAGAAAATACACAATTATGCATTCACAATGCTGTGGCCACATTGAGGCCTCCTGACAGGAAGGGGAATGACAAGAAGAGGAAGTTGCAGTGGAGAGATAGTGAGCTTGACCAGCTCCAGCTACAATGTCCATAAATTTTAAGTTTTACAAAAACATATGACCACATGAACACAGTGCTTGGGCAGCTCCCCTGACTTGGGATGTGGGGGCTGGTAGCTACCAGAACTGAGAACTTAAACTGAAGTGTTCAACAATGGTTTATTGCTGAACCAGGTGAGCAGCGGGAGACCCCCTGGCCCAGGTCTCAGTACTCAAACCTCTCCTCTGGCTTCGTACCCCTGTCTGCCTGTCTCCAGATCACTTTTTCACTGCACTGTGATTGCTCCTATTCTCCAGACCTGAGTTTCCTGAGTGATGTGCTAAGAAGGGGAGCAGACCTGCCTCAGATACCAGCTGCCAGGGGCTGGGGTAACTGAGCCCCTGAACTGGTCACCTGTTTTTCTGTTTATAATTTTATTTATTTATTTGTTTGTTTATTTATTTATTAGTGGAGACGGGGTTTTACCACATTGGCCAGGATGGTCTCGATCTCTTGACCCCATGATTCGCCCACCTTGGCCTCCCAAAGTGCTGGGATTACAGGCTTGAGCCACCGCGCCCAGCCCTATTTATTTATTTTTGAGACAGGGTCTTGCCCTGTTGCCCAGGCTGGACTGCAGTGACATGATCTTGGCTCATTGCAGCCTCTGCCTCCCAGGTTCAAGCGATTCTCATGCCTCAGCCTCCCGAGTAGCTGGGACTATAGGTATGTGCCACCAAGGCTGGCTAATTTTGTATTTTTAGTAGAGACAGGGTTTCGTCATGTTGCCCAGGCTGGTGTCAAACTCCTGACCTCAAGTGATCTGCCCACCTCAGCTTCCCAAAAGTGTTAGGATTACAGGTGTGAGCCACCGTGCCCAGCTCTGGTCACCTCTTGATCCCCAATAAGATTAATGTTTGCCCCAGTGAGCCAAACAAATACGAATTTTGCTGACCAAATCACTTTTTATGTGTGCCATGACATAAAAAAGGTTGGCAGGCTGGGCATGGTGGCTCATGCCTATAATTTCAGCACTTTGGGAGGCCGAGGTGGGCAGATCATGAGGTCAGGAGTTCAAGACCAGCCTGCCCAACATGGTGAAACCCCGTCTCTTCTAAAAATACAAAAATTAGCCAGGCGTGGTGGCATGCACCTGTAATTCCAGCTACTCAGGAGGCTGAGGCAGGAGAATCGCTTGAACTTGGGAAGCAGAGGTTGCAGTGAGCTGAGATTGCGCCACTGCACTCCAGCCTGGGTGATAAAGGATGACTCTGTCTCAAAAAAGATTGGCAGGTCCGTAGAGGTGGCGAGGTGGTGTGGTGGCACATACCTGTAATTCCACAATTTTGGGAGATTGAGGCAGGAGGCTTGCTTCAGCCCAGGAGTTTGAGACCAGCCTGGGCAACATAGTAAGACCCTGTCTCTAAAACTTAGAAAAACAAAGAAAAGCTTGGTAGCCACTTTTCCTTATCTTGATCCATAGTGAAAATATACATGGCTTGAGCCCAGGAGATTGAGATCAGCCTGGGTGACAGAGCAAAGCCCTGTCTCACATTGTCACTCGGACTGGAGTGGTACAATCACGGCCCACTGCAACTTCAACCTCCTGGGCTCGAGCAGTCTTCTTACCTCAGCCTCCTGAGTAGTTTGGACTACAAGCGCACATCACCAGGTCTGGCTAGTTTTTAAATTTTTTTGTAGAGATGGGATCCCATTATGTTGCCCAGGCTGGTCTTGAACTCCTGGCATCAAGCAGTGGTCCTGACTCAGCCTCTCAAGTAGCCGATTTCAGGCCATACCATCACCACATGCTGCTTAATTTTTATTTTGTAGTGTGATATATTCTGAAACTTTCTATTATATTTTGCTGTCATAAAAAATTGCTGCAAGGGCTGGGCATGGTGGCTCGTGCCTGTAATCCCAGCACTTTGGGAGGCCGAGGCCGGTGGACCACCTGAGTTCAGGAGTTCAAGACCAGCCTGGCCAATATGGTGAAACCCCATCTCTACTAAAAATACATAAATTATCTGGGCATGGTGGCATAGCACCTGTAATCCCAGCTACACGGGAGGCTGAGGCAGAAGAATCACTTGAACCTGGGAGGTGGAGGTTGCAATGAGTTGAGATCCCGCCATTGGAATCCAGCCTGGGCAAAAAGAGAAAAACTCCATCTCAAAAAAAAAAAAAAAAAGAAAGAAAGAAAAATTGCTTCCAGCATGGTGGCTCACAGCAGACACTTGAGGTCAGGAGTTTGAAAACAGCCTGGCCAACATGGCAAAACCCCATCTCTACTAAAAATACAAAAAATTAGCCAGGCTTGGTGGAGCCCACCTGTGGTCCCAGCTATTCAGTAGGCTGAGGTGGAAGGATTGCTTCAGACCCAGAGGCAGAGGTTGCAGTGAGCTGAGATTGCACCACTGCACTCCAGCCTGGCTGACAGAGTGAGACCCCATCTCAAAAACCAAACCAAACTTAAACAACAATAAAACAGAGGCTTGGAGAGAACGATCCAAGATGGCCGATCGCTAACATCCCGGGATTGCAGCTCTCAGAGAAGGCGCGGAGAACTAGAGGACGCCACACTTTCAGACAAAGTCTGGTCGCTCACGGAGCAGAAGATCCCCCAGTGGTGGAAACACAAGGGTCGCCAGCGCGACTCTCGTGGTCGGCGCAGCGGTTCCGCCGGCACCTCGACGCGGCAGCTCTCGGAGCAGAGTAAACGGGACCGGTTCCCCTTCTGACCGAGGTCTGGAGCCCCAGGAAGGCAGAGTCGCCTACTACGGACACAAGAAGGAAGCCCGACAAGATAATCCTGGGCAGAAAAGCACCATCAGTTTTAACGCCACTGCTCTGGCCCTGGGAACTAACAACCTGGACGTCCACTCAAGAGACCTAATTGAAAGTTGGTAATTTCAAAGACGACAGGAGGATAAATTTACAATGACGGGAAGAAACCAGCGTAAAAAAGCTGAGAACACGCAAAGTCAGAAGGCCTCTCCCTCTAAAGATGATCACAGTTCCACATCAACAATGGAACGAGGCTTGATGGAGAATGAGCGCCTCCTGATGACAGAATCACTCTTCAAGGAATGGATAATAACAAACTTCGGTGAGTTAAAAGAACATGTTGTAGCCCAACGTAAAGAAACTAGGAACTTTGAAAAAAGGTTTGATGAAATCCTATTGAGAATAGACAACTTAGAGAGGAGTATGAGTGAATTAATGGAACTGAAGAATACAATACAGGAACTCCGAGAAGTTATGCACAGGTTTAAACACTCGAATTGTTCAAGCAGAAGAAGGGATATCAGAGGTCAAAGTCCAACTTAATGAAATAAAACGTGAAGAAATGATTAGAGAAAAAAGGATAAAAAGGAATGAGCAAAGTCTCCAAGAAATGTGGGACTATGTGAAAAGACCAAATTTACGTTTGATAGGTGTACCTGAATGCGACGGAGAGAATGAATCCAAGCTGGAAAATACCCTTCAGGATATTATTCAGGAAAATTTTCCTAAACTAGCAAAGCAGGTCAACATTCAACCCCAGGTAATACAGAGAACACCACAAAGATATTCCTCAAGAAGAGCAACCCCAAGGCACATAATCGTTAGATTCACCAGGGTTGAAACGAAGGAGAGGATACTAAGGGCAGCCAGAGAGAAAGGTCGGATAACCCACAAAGGCAAGCCTATCAGACTTACAGCAGATCTCTCGGCAGAAACTCTACAGGCCAGAAGAGAGTGGGGGCCAATATTCAACATCCTCAAAGAACAGAACCTTCAGCCCA